ACTTGGCAGCTTTAAGATTGTTTCCTGCTCCTGTCTTATTTGGAAGAGTTCAGTATATCACATTCTTCAGATATTCCTGACATTGGTTCAGGATCATTTTAGAACTCCTTACGACAATAAAAAGAAAAGCCCGCATCCACCCACAGGGCCACGGAACCAAATCCCCATCCACCTGCAACTCTACAGGAAAAAAAAGAATTTCCACATTTACCCGCAARCCTACAAGAAAAAAATCCCCATCTACCTGTAAAGCTACAGGAAATAAAACACCCAACAACTCGAAGCCTAAGAAAGAGACCCCAAATACAACAAATGTAGGGCAATAAATTCACTTTTCATTGACACAACCACAGGAAAGAAAAAGAGAAGGAAAAACAGAGCTCCAAACAGGAAAAAAAAAGCAGCCCCTGCCAGTTCCTGTGTTTGACAGCCAGAGTTGAGCAGGACTCTTTTTGTACATCACATATATATGACATCGGGCCAGAATTGTTCTAGAACTAGTGAAAAAATTAGTAATAAGAAAGGTCCCAGAAGAGCAGTTGATCCTGAAAGAGAACTGTGCCTATTTAGTAGCTTTGAAAATGGCAAAAATAACCAAAAAAAGCCAACAGCCATGGAGCTGCCAAAACCAGAAGACAACAGCATCAAAACTTAGAGGTGGAAAAAAAAAACACCACAAAAAGAAAAAAGAAAAACAAAGTTCCCACAGCCACAAAACTTCCAAAACGCGAAGCCTAGCACACCTGCAAGCCTACCAAAACAGAGTAAAGGGATAGAAAACCCACAGATCTACAAAAATTAGAAAAATTTGTTTCACAAGACATAAACCTACTCCTCATGTGAGGTTCACAAGATCTAGAAAGGTTCTGAAAATTGTTTTCTGCTCGTGTTTCTCTTTTAAATATTTTAAAGCAACTATTTCTGTGGTTTTGATCTGTGCGGAGWTGAGCAGGGCTTTCCTGATGACTTTTCTTGGATGAAATATTCCTGAGATTGCTTCAGAACCATTTCAGAACTCATCAACTCACTYTTTACGATTAAAAAAAAAAATGGAGTAAAATTTCATACTACTCAGCAGCTACAGCTAATTATGAAATGTTCCCTGAAATGCAGCCTGTCCTGGCAGGGAATGGAGCCTGTTTAGTGGCTTTGAAAACAGCTTCCTCGCTACGACTTCCAAGGAAGAATTCAGGGAAGAGGGAAAAAAAAAAAAAAAAAAGCCAAAACCACCCACAAATCTACAAAAGAAGACAACCTCATCCAGGGGCAAAACTCCCGAAGAGGAAAACGCCCGTCCGCCCGCAGAGCTACCTGAGAAAAAGCCACCCAGGAACCTGCGGATACAACAGG